GAAAAGACTTTTTATCTGCAGTCACAACATCTGAGTCCAGGAGGGCACAGGGCTATTGTTGGTGGCTCTCTATAAAGACTCTCCGAAGGATCAAGCATTTGGCAAAGCATCCCAGGACATGGCGGAAGCTGCCCCAGACGCAGCACTCACCAGCAGGGGCGCCTCGGTGACTTATGAAGCTTTCCGAGACTTGGTTTTCTTGTCTCTAGATTGGACTGACATTTGCATGTGGTAATCTATGGGGAATGCTATGATTATTAGTGCATCTTATGCTGCGTTTACTGTATGTCACATACTGAGAACGACACGCGTTCGCAATACAAACACAAGGTGCTGCAAAATGGCCAGGTGGCTCTAAGACCTGTTTCTTTGTTTAGGCGATATAGATGCCAAACAAGTGGATCTGTAGAAGCTCTAAGTGACTTGGGAACAAGATAATAACAGTAGTCCTTCCCTCCGAGAAAGGGCTGGGTTGAGGCAACACACGTGAGGCGGCTGGCACACAGCAAGGCTCGCGGCGGGCTCATGTGGTGGCAGCTCTGTTGTTTTAGAGCAGCAGTGCTGTGGGCGGCTTGTTGCATTCCCTGTATATTTTAGCTCACTTTTAGCTCCAATACCTAGCCAGGTTCCAATAAATATTTGTTAAATTAGGTTGCTAGCTCAAAAATAGAATTTACTGGATGTTTGAGCTTTTAATGTGACAACGTGGCCATTCCATTATCATACCTTGTTGTTGGCTTTTCTTTTTTAGCCAACATATAATACGGAAGAACACATGAAAATGAGACTTTCTTATGAATGGAAGAAAAGATGAAGGATGTGGACCAGAGAAGAGGACCATCGCTTATTCTCTCTACAGTAGAGAATAACATTTTCCTGATTTGATCATTACACATTGTTGTCATGTATCAAAATACCATATGTACTTTGTAAATTATATTATATTATATCAATAGAAAAAGATTAAAATCCTATTTTACTAATCAAGCCATGGTTTGTGCCTAAATTTATATCTACAGGATTTTTTAAATGTATAAGAAAAATGAAACTTTAAGCCAATTCCCCAGGTTTGTAACATGTAAATCTCCATGTCCTGGGGGGCAGTGGGTGGAGGGCTGGGTTCAAGAGGATCGGGGTAGGGCAGACAATGACCACGGAGGCGAAAAGAGCAGGTGTGCCTGGAGAGCATGGCTTGTGTGCCACACAGGGAGTCCAGCACTGTAACCAGCAGTCCTCAATCCGGTATACGTAATAAAGCCACCAGGGGAACTTCAAAATGACAGATCCACACTGAATAATTAAATTAGAATCTCAGGTGGTGGAGCCTGTGATTCATTTATTTGATTTCTAAGGACCACCCCAGTTGACGACAATGATTCATACATATTCTCCCATAAGCCTCCCAACACAAGGGCTGGATTTGTATCGGCCCTAGGGAACTTTGGAACAAGAGAATACTATAATAATAGCTGTTCCCTTAAGCAGGAGGTTTTCTGGGGCAGAATCATTGATGCCAGACATTCTATTTTATGAAAGAGGAAACTGTGGTGCAGGGAAATAAGTAACTTGCACGAAGATCGGAAGCTACTAAATGACCAGGCTGGCACTCAGTTAAAGTCCATCTAACTAGAGAGCTTGGATTCTAAGACACAGTTCTGGCCTCTGAGGCCAGAGGAGCTGGGAAAGCCAACGGCTCAGCAATAACCATTTTGTACTGAGGCCTGCAGTGCCGGCCGGGAAGCAAGGGAGATGATCAAATTGGTGGGAGCAGTGTTGGATATGAAGATGCAATGACAAGAGTGAGAATAAATAAGGCCCAGTGGGGAGGATGCTGGTTAAATAATGGACAAACTGGAACATGAAAGAGAAGTTACTTTTATGGTAGGCTGGCACCTGGGGTGTGGGTGGGTCAGCCTCGTTTGGAGGCTGTGGCAAAGCCGAGACTCATGGTGTGGCCTGCGGTTTTTCTGCACCAGCTGTATTGACATTTTGGGCTGCATTCATCTTTGTTGTGGAGCTGTCCTGTGCAATGTGGGATGTTCAGCAGCATCCCTGGTTTCTATCTACGAGATGCCAGGAGCAACCCCTGCCCCAGTCATCACAACCAAAAGTGTCTCCAGCAATGCCAAATATCTCTTGGGAAGCAAAATTGCCACCATGTCCCCACCCCCACTTCCTCCAGGTGGGAACCACTGGTACAGACACAACATGTGGAGGACAGACTGAAGTTTTCACTTTCTTCTCTGATGTCCTGACTCGATCCATTTAGACATTGGGGTATAGAAGTACATTAGAATACTTTACATTGTGCCCTGGTTTAGTTCTCAAGTGCGTCCAATCTATTTTTTCATGCATTATGGAAAATTTAAAAAAATCTTTGGATTAAAAAAAATACAAAACTAAGATAACATTTACAAAAGCTCTTTCAAATGGAGAAGGTGGCACTGCTACAGAGACATTGTTGGTAAAAGTGTTTGCTATGATCACTGTAATTCTTTCTGGAAAGAATATTTTGGCATCATCTGGCTTCTCCATGTCATGGCATTATAAGTATGAGCATAAGACCTTTAAAAAAATAAGCCTGATAGTAGCTACTGACGCTCCCTCCACACAGACATGCATAGTGACAAACAAGATATACACACTATGAGCATGTATTATGTTTTTAGGGAATGCATTATAGACCCATGCCGGGTACACATGGTTCTCTAGGAGCCCATGATCCCCAGCTTAAGAACCTTCCATATTGGTATGCTAGCTCTTCAAGAAGACCCTGATGCTGCAGAAAGCAAAGTACACCCTTCTGGGGCACTCATGACAGTGACAGAGAACAGTTTGTATTTGAAAGGCTGGCATGCGTTTGGGCTCTCATGCACAGACTTCAGATTTGAAGCTGATCAGAAGATTAAGCCTTCTTGGGTAATGTCATATGTCATGCCTAATCAGTGTGCTTCCAGATATTTCCTATGTAAATAGCTGCTGGCATGGGCATATCAATACTGCCCAGACTTCCCCGATACTGGAGGGGGACGAAGGCTGGGGAGGGGGGATGAAAGGAGAGGCCCTTCTCTGCTTGTGGTGTGTTTCTTTTGCGACTAACAAAGACTCCTTGTACATTTGCTAACATTTGTTTCCTGTACTGAGAATTTAAACTTCCTGCTTCTGACTACCCAGATGATACTGAACCTTAGACACGCAAACCAAACTAAACATAAAAACCTGCCCATCACCAGTTCAACATCATCGTTTTCTGCTTGGGAAATTTAAGTGGAGGAGTCTCTTCCTCCTCACATCTTTTGAGGAAAATGGAGCTTCCACACAGTGTTTTCAAGTTACATGTTGATTTAGGTGATGCGCCATGCTATGGTGTCTATAAAAGGCTGAGAACAATGACTGTTATGGGAGAAAGCGTCTGTTTGCATCGAACTCTTTTAGGAATCTGCACAGCTCCCTTTTCTTTATTGCTGTAAACATAATTCCATACCTTCGTAGTTGTATTTCTGATTTTCTTGTGCTCATAAAATCTTAAATAAAGGCAGCCTTCAGGCAATTTGGAGAAGGTTAGATCAAGAAGAGACTTTTATGTGTATTCACTTTAGATGAAGAGTACCCATTACTTGAACCAGAGAAACGAATAAAGCATACGTCATACTAAGTGACACTGAATGGTTTTCTGCACATTGGATAGCTGTGATTTTTTTCAATAGTCCATTTAAAATATGTCTGTTTTTAAAAATAGACCCGTAATATACTTTTGCAAATACCACTCACCAATGTTAATACACTGAGTTCTTGTTCTTTACATGATTTCATGCTAATGAGCTGCTACTAATTCTTTAGCAAACAAGAAAGTTACCGCCCCCCCCCCACACACACACATACACACACACAGTCTCTTATGTAAACTTTTTGGAAGAAGTTACTTTTTAGGAAATTACAAAATATCATCCACTGAGCATATGCTTCACAAAATACGTAACTGTATTCAAAACTGAAACTAAAATGAAGGAAAAAGTTTGAGGAAGAGTAAGAATGAATTAAGTTGATAATTTGATGCACATGATTTATCAGTGCACCTAACAGCCTTGATTTCAAGTGCTTTCAATCATGTATTCCACAGATTACTGGGAACTGAATTTTTCTCTCTCTCTCTCAGCCTGTGGTCACTGCTAGAACGAGCCATTTGTTGTTTGCAAACTCTGCTCACCAGCACCTGCACCACTGCTGTTTCTAGCTGACACTTAGATGAGCATCTACTAACTAACACTACTGGTTCTACCATGGTCAGCGTTCTCAGTCTGTGTGGTCCATTATGGTAGCCGCTAGCCACCCTTGGCTATTTGCTTTTACATTAATTTAAATTAAATGAAATGTGAAAAAAATTCAGTTCCTCGGTCCCACCAGCAACATTTCAAGGCTCAGTAACCACCGTGTGGCTGGTGGTTATTGCACTGGCCAGTGCAGATTTAGACCATTCCCAACATCCTAGAATGTTCTACCACGTCATTTAATCCGCACAACACTGTGAGGTAGATACTGTGAGTCTTCATCTCATAGAGGAGGAAACCCAGGCACAGAGAAGGTAAGTAACTTGCTCAGGTTCACTTGGTTAGTAAGCAGGGGAGGTGGGACTAGACTGCGGACAGTCTGGGGCCCGAGTCATTGCTTAACCACGTCCTGATCTGACTCCTGTTAGTAACAATAATGATGACAGCAGCAGACAGCTTACAGTTATCCAATGTTCACTTCATCAGCAGGAAGTCTGCTCATTGCTTCATGTGTACCACCCTTTTTGATCCCTTCTACATCCCCGAGGGTTTGGGGTCAGGCGTTATGGTTATTCCCATTCTATTGATGTGGACATGAAACTTGGAAATAAATAAAATGCCATGAAAGTGGCAGAACTTGGATACAAATCCAGGTCTTTCTGACTCGAAATCATTCGTCTTTAAAACTACATCTGCTGTGATCTCTGACAGAAGAGAGGTAAAAATAGTGACTTTTTTTTTTTTTTTGCTGCAAGTGTTTCTTTATTTTCTGAAATCCACAGCAGAATCATTTGTAGCGACTGTCTATGTTATCACTAAGGTAGCAGTTGAGGGTGATTATAAGCTGACTCTGACCTAAATTTGAAAACACAGCTACAACTCACCTCTTTCTTTTTGACTTTATGGGGAAAGAATTGGATTCCTATGCCAGAGTAATATGTGACAAAGTGGCCTTGAGGCCTTGATATGTACCACTGGATAATAAAAGGAATTTCTATATAGGATTTTCTATTTAAAAAATGATAGAGATGCTATTTTTTACATGATAACCAGTAACCTAAACATACTGGGATTACACAACAGGTGCATGGGATTGGTTATTCTTGATGCTTTTCTTTGTGTGTGTCTCTTTTAGGATTAAAAAAAAAAATAGCCAACAGGAAATACATAGAGCGAACTCTAGTTACCAGCGATTTCTTATTTCCATTCCCAAACGCCCATTGTTCTGCAGCTGCCCAGTGGGAGAGATGAAATGCGCAGCACAGAGGGGCAGGGCCCGCGTGTGGACACAGTCTAGGATGTCGTGTCCTGGCTGACTGGGGATATACACCGTGTGATTCCGTGGCCAAATCCTTGGGGACCAACAGAGTGGGTGAGAGTCGCTGCCCCAAGCATGCAAAGGCTGGAGGTGCCCTTCAGGGGTACCCAGTGAGTCTTCCCTTGCTCAGAGGCCTTGCGGCAGGACTTCACAGCCGCCTGGCACAGTGTCAGGAAGAAAACGGCGGTAGCTGGGTTGCAGACAACAATGTCATTCCTGGTGAAGCTGAGGGGAAAGCAAGCTGGACTCAAGGGCTGAGGACCAGAAGCTGCCACTGCGTGTCCTTGGGCAAGCCCCTGGACCTCTCTGGGCCTTAGTTTCTTATGTGGTTAATGGGATGAGTCAATGTAATGATCTATGGCAGAGGGTCTGAAACATGCTAGCATTTATGGAATCTGTGGTTCACCGGAGAAAGTGTTGCCAGGGTGACCATGAGAAGGTCCTTACCCATAAGGTCCCCTACGGGGAATGGTGCGGATTCGGCTCTCAGGCACTGGCGCCGAGAACCACAAAGGAGAGAAGCAGAGAAGCCCACTGCACTCTCAGTCCCAGCCCCGCCTCTCCTGCGGGGGCGGAGGGGGAGGCAGGGCAGGGGTGAGTCCTGGTGACAGGAGGTGCCACGGAGCCAGAGCGCACAGGGGTTGGAGAATGTGCCCGTTGGAGACCCGCAGGGAGACGGTGGTCCGGGGACCACTGGAACAAGCAGTCTTGGTGTTCACTCTCTGCCCTGACGGAAAGTGAGGATACTTGGGCTCTCACAGAGCGAAAGGCAGTTAAGTCCCACAATGTAACCAGTGGCTTATTACACCTCGGGTGGTTTCCCTGACTTTAACTCTTGCTCCAGGATAAAGGCGCATGAAGGGGGCTGTGGGGGGAGCGAGGCCCAGCGCCCACCTGAGCACCCCACCCTGCCTGGCTCCGCGCTGGCGGCCTCGGGGCGTGAGCAGGACAGGACTGGAGAGGGTTCCTCGCCTAACCTCAGCAGAAACCGCCGACTGCTCATCAAAGGCTCCAGTTAGAACAAAACGTTAGGATGGTTGTTGAAAGGAAACGAGCTGGTGCCCCATGTTGGAAGAGGCCTGGCCACGGGCCAGGGGCAGGGGCGTCTGAGCAAGGCAGACGGGGAGCCCCTTTCTCCAGGACGTGCAGCTCTCCGCCGGGCCGCAGGGCTTGGGGCAGCTGGTGTGCAGCTCTCCGCCCAGACGGCGGGCGCGTCTGCACGCGAAGCGCTGGCCTCGAGGCCGGAGCCGGAGGAAGGCCCGCCCTCTCTGGGGCCCACGTGGCGCTTCCGGTGGCACCTGTGCTCCCCACACGGAGTGCTGGCACGCTCAGAGCCGGCCGGTGCACACTCTGCTGGTTGAGGGGGGGCCTATGGCTGAAGCCTGTCTCCCACCCCGTGTGCGGCGTCCCCGCGAGAGCAGCGCCGTCCCCGCGAGAGCAGCGCCGGCCGCGTGCGCGAGGGCAGCGCCGGCCCCTGTGCGCCGTCCCCGCGAGGGCAGCGCCGGCCGCGTGCGCCGTCCCCGCGAGAGCAGCGGCGTCCCCGCGAGAGCAGCGGCGTCCCCGCGAGAGCAGCGCCGGCCCGCGGGAGAGGCGCCTGGCTCCGGCTGACACAGAGCGGCCGCCCTCCTAGAGCAGCCCGGCTGAGCCGGCGCTGAGGGAAGTAGCAGCAATCGCTCCTCGTTTAAAATAAACAGGCAATGAACATATTCCCAGTGTTGAATTTTTCTCTGATGTTTTTTTAAAAAGCCCTTCATATTTGCCACAACTTATTTACAGAGTGAGCGTCAAATAACTATAAGCCGAATGAATTGAATAAATGAATGAATAAATAATGAGTGACTAAGCAAAGAGATGAATGAATACTATAAAGTTATTTTATGTAACAAAATAAGGAGCAAATGTATGTTAATAAAAACTCTCGGAAACAGTTGTTCACATTTTAAAAGTTTAAACATGTAAAAAAATTTAAAGCACTTATTTGCTCATGATTATAATTTTAAAAAATCACCTACATAGAAAGTGGCAATATTTTTCCCTAGCAAAATTGCTCCTAGTTTATATGAAAAAATTTGTTCTACTGGTGATCGGTGACATTCTGCAAAGGCTGCAGGACTTGCTCCTCGTGATAATGCTACAGAGGTGTTGGTTCCTGAGTGTTTTAGAACGACAGACACAAGCAGAGGCGTCTGAAAAACCGGGGGCGCCTACTGTCTCCCCACAGCTTTCCCCAGGCTCCCCAAGGCCAGCCTCCCTGGGTTCCCTGGGGAACACCGCAGAGGTGACCAGAGTCAAGAGGTCCCATGCCACTAGGTGAGGGTGACCTTCCACTGCCCTTCACAACTCCCAGGGATATGACCACTGGGTTCGAGGCACGGACAGGACTAGAGAGGAGGGAGGACGCACTTACCAGCAACTACCAGGTCCTGGCGTGGGCTGCAAATTCTCACGAACATTATCGCAGACATGAGCCCCCCAATAGCTCTGCGTTTTATATATGAGTGTAATTAATAGGAGGAGTGGTATAATTATTAGTGTTAATTATTAGAATTATTCATGTTGCAGAGGGGATAATGAAGTTCAGAGAGAATGCGAGAAAGAGAGAGAGAGAGAGAACAGTCAAAATACGAGAAATCAGAGAAAAATTCTGTCTGATTTTAATAAAATATACTTTTCTCATCAAAATATTTTGATAGCATGGGGAACGAGACGTGTGCTCATTAAAGTTTAATGACTGCCGCTCCCTGTCTTTTTGCATAAGGGGATCTCACACTCTGACTCACACAGGGTGGGTGCTGGGATAGTTAACTGGGAGCACGATTTACCCCAGTCCCAGTCTTCATCACCCGGGGTGAATGAGACTGGGTGGATTAGGACTCTCAACACGCACTCTCTGGCCTAACAGCTTGGGCTGAAGATGACTTGGATCCGGGCAGGTGGGCCTGGATTGTTCCAGGTCGGCCTAGATTTACTCTAAAAAGGGATTAGGTAAGAACAGCTGGAACTCAGCTGCGAGGCCACTCCAGTCCCAAGGCTGAGCTGGGGACACCCAGAAGAAGACAGTGCTTTGGCCAAAGGCTTTGAAGAGAAGGAGAAAGAAGAGGCTGGATGGGTGGGAGGGCGGAGTTGACAGTCATGTCACATCCCTGCTCTGGATCTTCACCAAAGCGCTTTGCCCACAGAGTTGATTATAAACCTCTCACCCAAAAATTGTAGGTGCACTTCAAAATGGCCCCAAGCCGCCTTCGTCGGGTTATTGTCACTTGTCCGCTGTCCCTGGCCTCCACTTCAGCCGTGGCAGGCTTCTCCCTGCTGTGTACCTGCCCCAGCCCTTGTGAAGGTTCTTTCCTAGTCTCTGGAATGGTCTGTCCGCCATCTTGACTGGCTGAATGCTACCCCATGCTGGGGATCACCTGTCACTCTATAGCCCTCATTCTTGATGCCCCACTCCACTCAAGCTTGTGTGATCTCACCTGCCTGGAACATAAACTACTTTGTGAAAGCAATTAGCACCTCTGCTTTCTGTGAAGTTCCCTTGTGAGAGCAACCTGGCCTATCGGCTACTTGAACAGGCTTCCGAGCCAGGAAGACCTGGATTGAAGCTTTGTGCCACCCCTCATTAGGCTTGAGATTGGGATTGGGGGCAAGTTACTTACAAACAACAACAATGGCAATAATAACCATAGCCACCACCTACCAGGTGGTCACTGTGACCCAGGCACCATAAGTCCATGGACTCATTAAATACTTGCAAGAACCCTAGGAGGCATGTTGCCATGACCTTTGTCTTGCCGATGAGAAAAAAGAAACCAAGGGAGGTTAAATGATTTTTTTTCAGGCTTACAGGGTCATTATGTTAAGGAAACAGGCTTTGAAATCAGTTTGGTTCCAGTCCTCATGTTTTGGCCACTATGCTACAAGGCACTACTCTCTGGGCTTCTCAGTTTTCTTATCTGTAAAATGGAGGTTACAGAAATATCCTCCTCATAGGATGCTAATGAGCATTAAAGAAGACAGTATAAGAGAAATGCTTAATAGTGTAGTGCTTAATAAGCCACAGCTGCTGTCACTGCTGGGCAGGTACCGGTCCCGTCCCTCCTCTTGCCTGTGAGCTGAGCAGGAGGCGGCATGTTCTCTGTCCCTGCAGCCTTTCACCCTGCGCCCGCACGCTCACCCCCTGCAGCCGTGAGAGGCTCAGGAGCTGTGGGACTGTCTCAGGTCCAAAGGGATCAAGGAAGGGTTGGAGCACTTTCCTAGAATTTGGGGACACTCAGTAATTCTGGACTTCTGAGCCATGGTAGTTTTCTACTTTTACCGTATTTAGCTCCCTCTCCAAGTCCTGTTTTATCTGATCTATGCAACTCCTCTGCCTGAGGTCCCTGGCAGGGTACTTCAACTGGATGTTTTCTTTTCATTCTCCTCCCCTCTCTCCTCCCTTCCTCCACCACGGCCCACATTTCACATCTCCAGGAGGCTAAGCAGCGTTCCAGGTCCCCAGCCCAGTAGCCAGAGTTCTGGAATCAGGGCCTGTCACACCGGGGTGGTCTTTAGGGTTCAAGGTGATTTATGCAGGAACACCCTTCCCCTGTTTGAAGTTAGTTTCTCGTTGCGGTTAATGGTTAAGAGACATGATGGGAGGATGCCTCATCCCCTTTTTCTGAACCAACATAGCACAGACAGAAGCCAGAAGTCCCATGTCTCCCACGCTGGAGTGCCGAACGGCCCTACCTCTACACACGTTTACTCCAGCAACGGCATCCCTGATTCCCTTGCAGAAACAAACACAAACACAACTCTTTATTTAAACTACAATCTCCCTGCCCAGGTCTGCTAACTTGTGGGAATAAGGTATTTCTGATTCTGCCCCTGGGGAATTAAATTGCACTTTATGTAAACCCAGAAGATAACTCACAAATAATCCTTCAAATTAATAATGCCTAAAAGATGAAAGTTACCAGTTTCCTTCCTACCTCCAGTTTATTATCAGTGGTGCAATTAGATTCTACTTTCTGCTGTGGTTTGAGCACTTCATAGCCTGGGAAGGTTCTCTCCTGAGACCTTGGCAGGGATAGGCCAGGCTTTGTAATTAGGACAGCTGGCAGGCCTCGCCCCTGGGGGGAAGGGTCAGGGCTGAGTTCATGAAGCAGCCCTGCTCAGCGGCCCCACCAGCCTGGCAAAAGCTGCGTCTGCGTGCAGCTGGGAGAGGCCTGGGGGGCTGGCACGTATGTAGAGGGCGGCCGCCGTGCCGGGCAGCCTTGCTGGCCAGGCCGCCTCGCTCCTCACGCTACTCGCTACACGTTCTCACAGGGCTGCGGCTCCTCTGCAGAAAGTCAATGCCCACTTCTTGGTTTTGCGTCTGTTGCTGACTCTGCCTGCAAACCCTGCACATCCTCGTTTTCGTCCTGCTTCTTAAGGCTTCCTGTGCTGATGACAGTGCCATGGTGGGCCTGTGGGCAGCGACACAGGTGGTGAAAGAACCACAGAGAAGCGATGATGGAGCCTTTCCAGAATGAAGGGCCTGGTGTTCTGCTCCCCGACGGTCACTACCCGTCTGTGAGTTTGGACGAGCCCTGTCTCGGTGGCTCACTGTGCCATCTACACAGGGCCAGTCCTTGAGAACCGTGACAGGAGCCGGTTCCCAGCCCCGCCTCTGCAGGCAGACGGCCTGGGTTCGAGGCCTAGCTTGCTGGCCGTGTGACCTTGCGTGAGTTATTTTGACCTGTCTAGTCTTCAGTCTTCTCATCTGTACAGTGGTGATGTCAGTACTCCCTGCCTTGTGGGGCTGCTGAGGTTGAAAACACAACCATGCCTGTAAAGCGGTGATCATGGTGTCTGAACCCCGTAGGTGCTCAAACAAAGCCATTTTGAATGCTATACATCAGTTCTGAGCTCTATCAATGATTCACACCAGAAGATTCATGAGAAACAAGGCCTACCCTCACCCTGCCCCCAAAACCTTTGAAAGTATGACAGACTTTACTGAAGCTCTGATTTACTCCCACTCTAGAGGAAGGCCTCCTCGCAGGGTCTGTGCTAATCGCTCTAATCACTTCAAGACCGTTCCCCAGAGACTGGGGGAGGACTCTCAGCCCTGAATAAGGGCTAGCATAAGATGTCACCTCCCTGCGTCTCTGTTGGAGTCTGGGTTCCTGCTTCCAGGGCAGGAAGGTGTCTCAGGGATGTGGCCACAGATACCACCAGGAGCTTTGGCTGTGGCCCTGAAAAGTAGGAGCGAACAGGCTCCTATATCAGTTTCCCACTCCTGTCCACCCTCATCCTCCTCTGCCGATTCCTTTGAGCCATTTGGGCAGAGACTTCTGGTGGTAACTGCAGAGGCAAGGTTAAAACTATTGAACAATTGGGCAAAACCAAGCTATGGTGCTAGAAGTCAGAAAAGTGCT